AACAACCTGGGGTGAGGCACTGTGCCTCTCCCATAGCATCCTATACATTTTAAATATTTAGCTAAAGTCTTATCTTTATAGAAGACACTCCAACCGCATGTAAGATCCTCATTTGAGGGGTCTAGATTGCCTTATGACTACATATCAATTTTTTACTGATTCAAATAACTGAGACCCTACCTAACTCTTGTCCTGTTTACCTTCCCCCATATTTCAGTTAATCTAGGTCTTGGGCCTTTCCCTGTTTCTTTCTCCCACCTTCTCCCATCACTTTGAGACCAGAGTCCTATCCCTGTTCAACTAATCCCTGGTGAGAGACCTCCTTTCTTTTCTGCCTGAACTTCCTCAATCTGCCTAATATGATGCTTCCTACTCACCCCCCACCCCAACCAATTCCTGGATATGACCATCTAAGAAAAATATTCCAACTACATTACAGGGTGTTAAACCAAATGGATCATGATGATTAACTAATTTCCAAACTACTTGAGTTAGTACCAGAATCATTTCCGTAGTATAGACAAAAACGATGATATCAAGAAGAATAAGGTGATTCAAACCAAGAGAGCATCTCACCTATGAATTAATCAAACTTTTCAAATTTTTTAAATGCCTCACCTTGAGTTACAATCTTGGATACAATTTCAGCTTGTTCTATGTTCTAAACAAGGCACACAAGCTATGCTTTGTGGATGAAAAGGGTATCTCTCACACTTCTTCATTACCTTGGATATTAACTCTGAATTGTTTTTTAAATAGAGGTAGTGTGTCTGTTGAGCCATTTATAGTATCTTTCCTGCTGCTTTCTTATACCGGACCACACAAGAGGGCAATGTGATTAGCAGGGGATAGGAATACCAGCCACATCCCACAGTACATAGTAGTTACACTGTTGGGTACTAGTCGTGATCATTCATGTAATGAGCTATTAAAGGGCTTACAGGAGCCCAAATCCACAATCTTAGTCTTATCAGCACCTCTCTAATCTCTAAACAAATCAACACTAAGTACATTATCAGCCTAGACTATGCTTAAAATAAACGTCCAATGTGCCAGAAAGAAATGGAAACATACAATAAATGCTTTGCTTCAATGACCTGTCTTCACAGTGACATTTTTCTACACAGCAAAAATTATCTATATTATCTATATTGCAGTATCTATACTGCAAAAATAAACTATTCCCCCCAAAAGGAGACAAGAATACACTATCAGGAAAAGCAGCACAGCACGGCACTAACTTGTCTTTAACTCAGCTGTGAAACCTTGAGCAAGTCAGTCATCTGCCACTCATCTCTAGCAAATTAATCAATTTTAATTTGCCAAAAAGTGATATGAAAAATTATGGCATAATTTGTCATTCATTACTTTAAATTAAAGAAAGTAATCGATTTAAATGAGCTTTAGAACTGAAATAGTCGGCTAAATGTAGTACCGCAAGAGTATATAATAAACAATGATAGTGTACAAAACATTCAATAGTGAAAAAAACCAGACGTGTTATCTTGAACTAATGGGCCATCAGCCACTCTGGATCAAAAAATTCCTTTCCTCCTTAAACAGATAATCTAAAAAAATTCTTTTAAACAATGCTGAGCATTGTTAAATTACACACTTACTCATTAATCAACTAAACCTCATTATTCTACGGATGGAAATGATGTGATACACAGTCTGAACAACTCAGTTTATTCCTGTAGGACTGTATACACTGCACACCTTCCACTGACTGTTGAACCTGACAGACTGATGCACATTATTTGATATACAGGGGATCTTCCTAAATTACTCAATGCCAAGCAGCTGACTTCAGAACCACATGCTGGGAAGTAACTGGTGATCTGCACTCTCTAGCCCTATCCCCCATTCCATTCCAATCTCTAGAGCTATATTACTTTCTGTCACTTTGTTGCTGGGTCCCCTCTCCTCTGCTGTCAGTTCTGGTGCTTAGCGTCCATCACTGATATTGATCTCCTTTGCCACTCTCCATCTATCCACATCTGGCTGCCATACTGCTACTCAACACTTCTTTTCTCTGTCTATTCATCACTTTTGGCTCCTCTGTTTCCTGCTCTTCTCAGCTACCAGACAAAAGAGACCTACTTCACAGGCACAGTCGGCCAATCAATGCACCCCTTTCCTTCTAATTAAAAAGAAAAAAAATCAAAGCAGGACAGGATGATCCTCGGCTTTTCTGAGCTGTTTCCATCACAATCTGATACTCCGAGGTTCATTCGTTGTTACAAAAGATGCTTTATGGTTTATTTCTAAGTTTGGAGTTGCTGCAGACACTTGGTCTACAGACAATTGTAGTTTTACAAGTATGGTATTTTAGGGTTAAAAAAGCAAAAGAAGACAGGTGGCTGCCTTCTTAACCCTTAGATGGTTCACCAAAAGAAAAATCAAAAATGTCTATTAAAATCAGATAGTAAAATAAATGAGTAGTACCCCAAAGAAGATATATTTATGGCTCCAAAGCATATGAAAAGATGGTTAACATCATTAATCGTTAGGGCAACACAAATCAAAACCACAGGAGACACTACTTCACACCCATTAGGATGGCTATTATCAAAAAAATAGAAAATGTGTTTGGCAAGGATGTGGAGAAGTGTTGGTGAGGATGTGGAGAAACCGGAACCTTTGTGCATTGCTGGTGGGAATGTAAAATAGTGTAGCCACTGTGGTTAACAGTAAAGTGATCTCCAAAAAGATTAAACATAGAATTACCATATAATCTAGCAATTCCACTTCTGTTTATATACCCAAAAGAAATGAAAGAAGAGACTCAAAGAGATATCTGCATACCCATATTCATAGCAGCATGATTCACAAAAGCCAAAAGGTGGAAGCAACACAAGCATCCATGGACAAATTAATGCACAAACAAAACGTGTATATACATAAAAAGAAATACTGTTCAGCCTTAAAAGGAAGGATATTCTAACACATACTACAACAGGGATGAACTTTGAAGACATGATGCTAAGTGAAATAAGCTAGTCACAAAAGGACAAACACGGTATGATTCCACTTACATGAGGTACCTAGAGTAGAGAGAGAGAATTTTCACAGAGACAGAAAGTAGTCTGCTGGTTGCCAGGGACTGAGGGGAGTGGGGAATAAGGAGCTAATGTTTAAAACGTACAGATTTTCAGTTGAGGAAAATGAAAAGTTCTAGAGATGGATGGCAGTTATGGTTGCGTAAAAGTATGAATGTACCTAATACTACTGAAATGGACAGTTAAGAATGGTTAAAATGATAAATTTTATGTATATTTTACCACAATAAAAAAAATGAATGAAAACTAAAGTTGACACAGGGCAGAGAGTACTCACTACTTAGCTATCCATGGTACTGTGCAAACCTAATCTGACTCTACAGCAGACAGCACAAGTTATGTACAACTAAGTAAATGGTGTTTCATTTTGTTAGCGCTAATGAAGAACACAGAAACATCTTTATGTATTTAAGGACATCATATTCTCCTCACAGAGGTCTCTCTGGGAAAGCTGACAAAAATAGGCTGTCAATAAAGAAGATATCTCATGCACACACCAAATTACTGAATAAATATTCATTCTCGAGATTTTTAAACCCTAATGCCTCCATGCTACATCCTTGCTATTCTAAGATACATCAAACATTCTCCCGCCTCAGCACTAGCCTAAAACATTCACCCCTTAAAGCGCTTTATTTTTCTTCATAGCTCTTATCACTATTTGATATATATTTACTGGCTAATTGTCCTTCTCCATTCACTACAACGTAGATTCCAGAAGTACAAGGACTTTGTCTATTTTGTTCACTACTGTATGCCCAGCACCTACAACACCGCCTGGCACACTGAAGGTGACCAATAAATATTTGTTAAATGAATGAACAGATGGATGTTCACGGCTTCACGAATCATATTTTCCTCTTGGCCTTGGTACTATGCTGCCATTTACCAAAGCTGCAGCAGCCACTGCCTCAAAGTCATCCAGAGCATCCCTGGTTTAGGCTTCAGTGGTTAAGCAGATGGACCATCTTACTTAAAAAGTCATATAGAAGCCTGATACTGGCACCATAAAAAAAAAAAAAAAAGTGCTCTCTGACTCACTTTCTAAATACACTAAATGAGTACAGTACATCTCTCCCCCACAATGAGGGATAAAGAATATACCTCTAACACTGCCCTAAGACAAAAAAATAGTGTATTGCATAACAAACATCACACTGCACCTATTTCATAAAGGTTACAAGGCACTTGCTAGCCTGAAAAACCACAGGATTTTCTCTCTACAACCGTTCAGAGGATTTGGGGAAATGGGAAAATGCAACAATACTGCTTGTCAATAAAGAATACTGCTTGTCAATATAGCCAAAAATTAAATAACCAGTGACTTGGCCCAACAGATACACACTCTGGAGCATCAGATGAATGTTAAGTCTGGATGAGGGAGAGAGAAAACTGCTTCCAAAATATACCTAACTTTATTTCAAAGTCAAAAGTATTCAACTAAGAATTCATCCCAGTGAAATGTCCCACCAGCGCCCATGCATGTTACAAGTTTTGAGAGCATTTTATAACTGCACTTTCATCTTCTGTCTGCAGTGAATGACTTCTGGTAAAGCTTTGGCAGTTGATGATCATTTCTGTAGAAAAAAATCTTTAACCAGAGAACTGCAATACAGCCCCTCCTGAGAAAGCATAGGAGGGCCCACTACTCTAAGATCTCTTGGGTCCCAGAACCCCCTAAGTCTAGGTGTAAGGAGAGTCATCCAGAGAATACACGTGTCCTGTCCCGCCTCGCAAGTGGAAATGTCGGGTGCAATTCGCCCATCAGCGGGGTCCCGGACACAGGGCGGAGGCGTCCCCAGGAAACGCAGCGTGGCTCCGGGTAGCTTCCGGCCCCGGGACCAGGGACCCCCGCCCGAGACGGATCAGGCCAGCCCCTTCCTCCCATTCAGCCGGGGCCTGCCCCGGAGCTCACATCCCCGCAAACGCAGGTCCTACCTGAGCTCTGCCCCCAGCTACAGGGCTGCGGGGGGAGGCGGGAGGAGGCGTGGCCTTCCAGCTCGCCAGTCGAACTCCCTCGTGCGGTTGTTAGGACTTTCCCTCTCGGGATCCGCGCCCCGACCAAGTTCGAGTTGCACTTCCGGGGTCCGCAGGAGACTGAAACGTCATTGCGCACGCGACGGCGGCGGCGGCCACAATCCGGAAATAGGCGGGGCGTGGTCGCTGAGTTGGTTCCTGCGGTGCTGGATGGGCCGGGAGAGAGAGGCCGGGGGGAGATAAGGGTTGTCCTAGCCGCCGGCTCTCCTCTCTCTTCGTTCGCTCTGTCTGCTGAAGCAAGGGACATAGCTTCTTCGGTAGCTAGAGAGGATGGGGCCACCGTGAAGCCTCGTTCTCCAAGAGGAATTTAAGAAATAGTTCCGGGAATGTCCATGCAGCTAATTGCCCTCTCTCCCATTCCTGGTTTATCGGCCTTACTCGGTCCATTCAACTCCAGAAAAGATGGAAGGTGGGAAAGTCTAGATTTAGAAGATTAAATTTACCTGTAAATTATGATTTATGTAAAGTAGGAAGTTAAGGATAGCCTCTCAGACACTGCTCTTTATCCTATCTGCTGAATACTAATAGGATAGATTGGAAACAGCTGTGGAAAGCTATTGTCACATGGCTAACGGGTTTGGTTCTAAACTCAGCTTTTAACAGCAAAAATCTCTGTTAGTAAATTACTCATGAAAATCCCCTACATGGCCCGCAAAGTACAGAATATGTGATGTTAAGCATAAACTCTAGATCTGTAATTCTTATGCACACTTGAATGTAAGACCTCTTAGCTAGTTTAAATGTTAGAATGAAAGGAGAGTTTGTGTGTAGGTTATCTGGGCATTTAAACAGTCCTGATAAATCCGAGATCAATTCTTAGTCTTCATCTTACTTAACCATTCAGCAGCATTTGACACAGTTAATCAGATCCTCCTTCTTGCAACTTCTAACACTTTCTTCATTTGACTTTTGTGAAATCACAGTGTTCTTTTGATTCTCCTTTGCTGGATTTTTCCTGATTTCTAAATGTTAGTGTACCCAGATTTCTTCCCCCTCTTTATCCACCCTCCTTCCTCAGGTGATCTCAACCATTCCCTTCATTGTCTTTTATATGGCATCGCTATGCTGATGGCTGCCAAGTATCTATATCCAGCCTGATTTCTTTGCTTTCTATGCACACATATCTAACTTCCTATTCAACATATGTACTAGGATATTTAATATGCATTTCAGACTCTTTATTTTCAACCTCCAAAACCTGTTCCTGTTATGCATCTTTCCATCTCAGTAAATGGCACATTGATTCTTACTGTTGTTCAGGTCATCCTTTGATTCCTCTTTCTCTCACATTCCACATCCAATCCTTCAGCAAAATCTGCTGACTCTCTTTTCAAAAGGTATCCTAGGGGTTGGCTGGTGGCGTAGTGGTTAAGTTCGCCATCTGCTCAGGTGTCTTGCAGATAGGGATCCCAGGCGGAGACCTACACACCACTCATCAAGCCATGCTGTGGTTGTGTCCCATATACAAACTAGAGGAAGATTGGCATGGATATTAGCTCAGGGACCATCTTCTCAAGCAAAAAGAGGAAGATAGGCAACAGATGTAGCTCAGGGCCAATCTTTCTCTCAAAAAAAAAAAAAAAAAGGTATCCTAAATTCCTAAATCTAACCAGTTCTCACCACCCCTGCAGCTACCACTGTAGTCCTCACTGAATGCTCTAATTGTCTCTTAATTGTTCTGCATTCTTCTGTTCTTGCCTCCCTAGTCTAGTCTCCACTTGGTGGCTCTAGAAATCCTTTTAAAATGCAGATCAGAATTTGTTACTTTCCTGTTCAAAACCTCTAAAAGCTTCCCTACTCAGATGGAATAAAGTCCAAAATGATTTTCATAGGACTCTGTATGATCTGGCCCCTGGCCACCCCACACCACCACTGAAGAAGAGCATAGTAAGATATTTTGGAATGGTGGGGGTTGGAAACTTGAACAATAACTTTGGAGTTTGGGAAATGGCACTACCAAAGGTGATTGCCCAACTTCCAGGCAAGAAACTGACTGAGGGTGCCTGTGATGACAATGTAAAGAGATAACAACTGTCAAGTTTTTTCCGAAAGCTTGGAGATATATTGCTATGTGGCTGGATGTATTAGTTTTCTAGGGCTGCCATAACAAAGTGCCTCAAACTAGGTGACTTAAACAACAGAAATTTATTGTCTCACACTTCTGGAGTTTAGAAGTCCAAGATCAAAGTGTGGGAAGGGTTGGTTCCTTTTGAGGGCTGTGAGAGAGAATTTGTTCTATGCCTCTCTCCTAGTTTCTGGTGGGTTTTGGACAATGTTTGGTGCCCCTTGGCTTGTAGATGCATCACCTCAAATTCTGTCTTCATCTTCACATGGCATTCTCCCTGTGTGCTGTCTCTGTGTCCAAATTTCCCCTTTTTAGAGGGACACCTAATCCAGTCATACTGGATTAGGGCCCACCCCAATGACCTCATTTTAACTTGATTACCTTTCTAATGGCCTTATTTCCAAATAATGTCACATTCTGAGGTGTTGGGCATAAGACTTCATTGTATCTTTTTGGGGAGACGCAATTCAACCTGTAAACTAGGGTAGAATTGTTTTACAAAGGAGATAAGCAACTCCAGTAGAAATAAGGACAGGAGAATCAAACCAACCAGCAGAATGAGGTTGTGTGAGGAAAGCCTCTACAAGAGGAACTGCATGGGAGTTTTGAGATGCTAGCAGGAGCTTTCATCCCCTTATCAGGGAATGGCAGTGTTGGAGTTCCTGGATTTGGGTGAAGCTCCAAAAATGTACAAAAGTACCTAAAGACAGAAAGCACCAGCACTTGGGCATTTGTTACAGAGGTGACCACGATCTCAGTTTATAATAGCCTTTTCTTTCTACCCCTGAGCTGACCCTGAAGGATCTCAAGGAAACAGAATGAGTGTGAGAAAGAGAGAAGTAAAAGGTGGAGGAACCAAGACAAAACAGGTAACACCCTCTTCCTTCTAGTCATATTTGTGGGGCACACCTTGAAAAGAGGACGCTTTAAAGTGATTTAGAGGTTTCCAGTCCAATATGTAAAGAGTTTGGAGCTCAAATTCAGTCACTTCCATCTTCACAATGAGAAAAATCTGTACAAACTAAAAATCAACAACTTTTCCTAGATTCGTCAGAGAATGGAGGTCACAGGGAAAACTGCTGCCCCCAAAACTGGAGAGACAGACAAGCAATAAAAGAGAGGCAAAGCTTACAGGGAGCAGGAGTTAGTATGGGTAGGAACACTTTAAATTCTCATTGAAAAATTAGTGATGGCTCAGTGTGGGCTATCTTGAGAGTTAAAACTCATGGACTAGCTTGAGAATTAAAAACTCCAAGTGGTCCTAGTTGTGGGGTGAAGGGGCCTGCACACTTTGGTGAGTTTACCTCCAGGAGCCCTACCAGGTTCTCACTGTGAAGATCAGAGAAAAATCTTCTTCTGACAGTGGGAGAGCAAAAATGACCATTTTGAGATATGCCCAGAGCTCTCTGTTTTCCTTAACAAATCCTTCCCTTAAGGGAAATTATTTTACCAGAGCCTAACCAACCAGGGGTTGACCAACCTAGAGGAATGGAAATACTCAACTCCAGCACACTCTAGCCTTTGAAGTGGGGGGAAAGTGGGCAACATGCAGGAACAGAAAGGTACTATAAGCAGAGAGATGAAAATGCTAAGAAAGACTCAAAAGGAAATGCTGGAAATATAAAACGTTGCAATAAAAAACAAAAATATCTTTGATGAACACAGCCAAGGAAAGAATATAGGTTGAGGATATGTCAATAGAAACTTCCAAAACTGAAATGCAAAGATAAAAAAGAATGAAAAAGAACAGAATATCCAAGAATAGTGGGAAAATTACAAAAGGTGTAACATATACATAATGGGAGTACCAGAAGAAGAAGAAATAGAGAAAGGAAGAAAGGAACTATTTGAAGCAATAATGACTGAGAATTTTTCAAAATTAATGACAGACACAAATCCACAGATCCAAGAATCGGAGAACTCTGAACTGAACAAATACTAAATGAAATTTACACCTTGGCATATATATTCAAACAGCAGAAAAGCAAAGACAAAGAGAAAATCTTGAAAGAAGCCAGAGGAGAAAAACCCAGCCTTCCCTACAGAGAAAAAAGGATAAGAATCCCATTGGACTTTTCTTCAGAAACTATTGCAAGAAGAGAATGGAGTAAAATATTTAAAGTGTTGAAAGTAAAAACTACCAATCTAAAATTCTGTATCCAGTGAAATTATCTCTAAAAAGAAAAGGAAAAATAACTATCTCAGAAAACGAAAATTAGGGAAATTGCCAGCAGTGGACCTGCCCTGCAAGAAATGTTAAATGAGTTCTCCAAAGAGTTGGAAAGAGTTGGAAATCAAATAGGTCAGAAACCTGGATCTACTTAAAGAAAGGGAGAGTTTTAGAGAAGGAATAAATTAAGGTAAAATAAAATCTTTTCCTCATTCTTTATTTTGATCAAACAGATCTGTTGCATCTGCTCAAAATAATAATATCAACATTGTATTCTCTGATTATAACTTATAGATAAATGAAATGAATGACAGCAGTTGTAAGAGACAGGAGGGGGGAACTGTACGTTCATTACCTGTGAAGCGGGACAGTGCTATTTGAAAGTGGACTTACATAAAATTTAAATGTATATTGCAAACTCTAGGACAACCACTTAAGTTTTTTTTTAAATGTCTGATTTTCTAACAGAAGAGAGAAACTATAACCATGTAAAATGTTCAGTTAAAATCAGAGAAAGCAGAAAAGAGTAGAGGACTAAAAAAAAAAAAAAAGAGGCAGCAAGGGCAATGAATAGGAAACATTTACAGTCATTTAGATCATATCAGACTTTTAAATGACTAAAAATGAGACTTTCCAATATATTCTAATGTGACCAGAAAAGCCGTGATGCTTGCCTAGCATATAATCCAGGTATTGGGAAAAATAACTGACAAAGCAGGTTTGGATTGTAGTAGGAGGAGAAAAATTAGGTTTTCTGCTTGTACCTCAAATACTGCTCATTCAATATATAAGTTACATCCAAATATGTATGTTACAGAAACTATGAAGTTTAAAACA